CAAAAAAAAAAAAAAAAAAGGAAACAAACAGCCCCTATTTACAAATAACGCTACCCTCTCTCTACTTGAGTAATGCTAGCGCTACTACGAACTTTATATGACTTTTCCGTAGGGACTTATGATTCCTTATGTCATTTCATGAGAAAGGATTCCACATTTTTATGTCTTATACAACAGAGTTAGTTTACGGTACAAGTTAGTATAAGAGTGCAATCCTATCATAACAATACAATTCTCAACAGAACAACTTACAATGTGGATATATGAATCGGTTGTTTTCATCTACTCTACTGAGGGGACATTAAAATATCCAAACTGTCCCATTCTATAATTAAACTGCCCCATTCTACAATGAATGATGATAAAATCACGTATGTAGTTAATAGCTATACCGATACGAATCGTTTTTGCTCCCAAAAAATTTAGAGGTTGGCGTTAGATATTTTGTTCTAAAAATAATATGGTACATCCCTAACTCTACTAATTTCACCACTTTATATTGGAAAATGGGAAATGGAAAAACCTCCGTATGCATTGATAACGAAGTTAATTCCTATATTATTGATTACATGATGCATTCATCTTATAGGCATTGGGGGGGGGGGTGGGGGGGGGGGGGAGATAAGCCTCAATGTTAATAACAACCTGAAGGCTGGAAGACACTAAAGAAAGAAGAAATGAAAAACGTCACATTATTGTCACGTTAATTGCAGACAAACATCTTGGTATTTCATCAAATACCTTATTTGTCTCATGTATGTCGAAAAAGTTCGTTTGGGCAGCAGAGAGTATTGGCAATTAAATCCAAAATTTTTACAGACCACAAATAATAAGGGGCAAAAAAATCATGGAATTATACAATTGAGTTTTGAATACTTAAAATTAGTGATTTAATGGAAAACAAAGTGAAGACAATAAAATATGATTAAATGGAAAACAATTAAGAAAAGAAAATAAAAGCGGCGGTTGAGGGAAATGGAGGGTCCCCATCGTCTCCTTCTCTTCACCCTCCTCGTTGCGATCCTCCTCCATTTCGCCAGATCTGATGGTAATAATCTGGATCTTGCCTCATCTACATGTTTTTTTTTTGCTTGCTACCCGTTTGATATTTTGCTTGAACGAAGTTCGAGGGCAGCTACATTGATTAATTCATTCATCTAATAATTTGGGATCTAATCGGTCCTGGCCGCTGAAACTAGTTATTGGAACAGTTTAGGAGAAACAGATCTGCGTTGCTTTTAGTTCCGCGGGCGACTCTTGCTTGCTGCCTGTTTGATTTTTTGTCCCAATGAAGCTTGAAACCAGTATGAATTTAGCCCAAATGATCATTCATCTCACGTGGCGATGCTCAATGGAATCGCTTGTGGGGTGAAAACTATTTGCCACACTCGTCTCGAATTACTTTCGGGGCAGCGGGATCTGCGTTGATTTTAGTTCTGATGATGTTTCTTTGGTTGCTACCTTTTGATTGATTGTTTGAACATTTATAATCTTTAGCCCAGATGCTCTAAATTGTCGGCCTCCTTCGAATGGTAATATCTGATCTAATCAGTTTTGGGTGAAACTAGTTACCGCATCCATTTTCGCTGCACTTACTGTCATGCCGCCGGCCCATGAGCCCGTCGCCATGGTGTGAGCTGGGGGGGATCCACTGAATGTAGCGCTTTGTTTGGTTCAAACCACTACCAGAACTAGCTAGTCAATTCTACACTTGAAACCCATGACCTGCCCTATATTCTTGCACTACCCGACGAGGGACTAAATCTCGGGGTGTCACACTTATGGGACTTATGGAGCATTGCTTTTAGTTAACCGGGTATTTCTTGCTTGCTTCAAGTTTACCTTTCTGTCCGAATGAAACCTGAAAACCAGTACAAAGTAATAACTAGAAATCCTGGATCTAATCAGCTTTAGATGAAACTAGATATCACATTCATCTCACATTTCCTATGGAGCAACACTAGATCTGCATCGCAGAATATTTCATGATCTACTCTCTTTTCTTTTCATGTCGGATAAGAGAAAAAAAGTTTTTTTTTAAAAAACTTTCTAAACATTGTAGATTAAGAAAGAAAATATGCTAACAAGCATCTGGTAAAGATATATTTCATGACATTCATTGCAGATACTGATGATAAGCTCCTCGAAGGCATCAACAGCTACAGAACTTCACTCAACCTCTCGAAACTGACCACTAACGATAACGCCTATTGCTTAGCGGATGAAATCGCCAAGCAGTTCAAGGGCCAGCCGTGCACCAACACTACCGGATCCAATACGGTTCTTGGAACCGAAGAACAATTCCCTAATTACCCTGAGTTTCTCAAAACCTGTCATTTGAATGCTACCGTCACACAAGATGCAGCCATTATGCCTGCTTGTGTCCCTAACTTAGATTCAACCCTCGTGCTCACAAACTTTACGAAGTCTCAATACTCTGGAAGTCTGAATGATAGTAAGTACGTTGCAGCTGGGGTTGCTGATGAGGGTGATTGGATTGTTGTTGTTCTGAGCACAAACACTCCCACTGGAAACTTTGAAACAACATATACAGGAGTCTCTTCAGCAGTTAAGGTGGATTTTGGGTACTATATGTTTCTAGTTTTTGCGGCGTTCCTTCTGTATGTTCAATATCTATAAGAGAATAGGAGGTCTCTCTGCAGCATACTGAGGTAACTCTGTTTTAGGATTATGAATCAAAGTGCTGATATAAAAGGTTGGTAGCTTTGCAATTACAAATACAGGAGTTGCTTCAGTGGTCGAGTTCTGCTACTATTTGTTTCTAGTTTTTAGTTATGATGTTTGTTTGTTTCGGCTGTTCTTTGACATTTCTCCTTGATTTTTTTTTATTTTTTGCCTGGATCATATGTGTGATGTGCACTATGTTCCAATATATTTATTGAAAGAATTGTTGGATTTTACTGAACATGTTTGCTGCATTGTTTATTATTCTTATATTCTTACTCATGAGGATTTTTTTTAAGTGTTAATCGCAAATATATCCCTTGCAATATATCATCTGAAGCAGGTTCGCATATCTCAATTTTAAGGAGTATATTGTGAGTGTGGGGCCCAGGCGTGAATTGTTTCACGTGAAGGTTGACGCGTGAATGAAGAGCACATCAAAGCAAACCATCTCTCTTATTTTCACGTGAAGGTTGACGCGTGAATGAAGAGCACATCAAAGCAAACCATCTCTCTTATTGTCCAGCGGTTTTTAGTTGTATCTTGGATATTTGTTCAAAGGCCCACCCGATTAACCAATAGGCTATAAATAGGAACATTGTTTTTAGCCTAGGTTTTGGGGGTGCTAACTGCTAAGGCTGAGAAAAAAAAAGGCAGCAAGTGCAAAGGAGCAGAGGCGGGTACAAGGAAAAACAGAGCGGCGGCTGCAGCAAAGAAAAAAATCTTAGGGATTTGTGAAGAGAGTTTTGTGCAGTTTCTTGTGTTTTCTTTTGTGAGAGATTGAGAGATTGTTTGAGGGTTTAGATTTGAGAGTTTGTAAACCCTAGTTGTATTCTCTCCTTTTAATAGTAGATCTTTCCCTCATTGCCCCGTGGACGTAGGCAGTTTGCCGAACCACGTAAAATTAGTTGTTTGAGTTTGTGGCCATAGTAATAGTTTTTAGGATCCCTCGACGCGCAGTCCTAGAGCTGACGAGAGGAAGAGCAAATATCCCACTTTGATGGGATATTAGGCTTCAGATTCTTGTTCCCTTTGAGAAACAAGAATTCTTATCGATCTTTCTCTCTTATTGTGCACCAGAAACTCTGCCGAAATTTCCGCTGCGCACAACAAGTGGTATCAGAGCCCAGATTCCAGATCTAGGGTTTGGTTGGAGGAGTAGATCAATTTGGAGGCCCGTTTAGGACTTCGTTGGTGATAAAGGTGGGATCTTTTGGTAAAGACTCTATCTTTTAGTTTTGGATCTATTCTTTGTTCGTTGGTGCGTAAGATGTCGGGGAAAGAAGGTGCTTCGGGTGTCGAGGGTGGTGCTTCTGGCGCGAAGACCATTCAGAGTTTGAATATCCACTCTATGAAGATAGATGTGGAGAAATTTAATGGCACAAACAACTTTGGATTATGGAGATGCGAGGTTTTGGATGCGCTGAACGCGCAGAATTTGGAGGATACATTGGAGTTAGATGGCAAGCCAGATGAGATTGAAGAGAAGGTTTGGAAGAAGATGAATCGAACGGCGTGTGGTGTGATTAGGTCTTGTTTGACTCAAGATCTAAAATATGATGTGATGAATGAGACTTCTGCGAAGAAGATTTGGGAGATTCTCGAAAGCAAGTATTTGACCAAGAGTGTGGAAAATCGCTTGCATTTGAAGAGGAGGCTTTATCATTTCCAATTGAAGAAGGGAACCTCCATTAGAGATCACATGAACCACTACACAAAGCTTCTTGCGGATTTGGCGAATGTGGATGTCAAAATTGAAGATGAGGACAAGGCGTTGCTGTTGTTGAGTTCCTTGCCCGACGAAGAATATGAGACATTCGTCATTACTCTTATTAATGGGAAGGCATCCCTTTCGTATAGTGAGGTCACTGCTGCACTTGTGAATTATCAGCTTCGAAAGAAGGATAAGGAGGCTTCAGTTGAGCCGGTAGCAGAGGCGTTGGTCGCAAGAGGAAAGGGTCCAAACCGAAAGAATTGAAAGTCACAGTCTAGAGTAAGAAAAGATCAGTGTGCTTGGTGCAAGGAGACTGGTCATTGGAAGAAAGACTGCCCAAAGCTCGACGAATGGATGAAGAATAAGCAGAAGGGAAAAGGGAAGCAGCCATCATCAGAAGCAAACATTGTATCGGATGGTAATAATTCTGACTCTTCTATTTATTCGCTTTCTATCAGTCCTACAGATAGCTATTCGGAGGAATCTGAATGGATGTTGGATAGTGGTGCGACCTATCATGTGTGCCCTAGAAGGGAATGGTTCTCCAGTTTTGAGAAGCTGGTGGATAGTGGTGTGGTGTACATGGCTGATAATCGTGCATGCCAGATCCTTGGGATAGGAAGAATTCGCATAAAAATGTTTGACGGGACTGTTAGGGAGATAAATGATGTGAGATATGTTCCTTCTTTGAGGAAAAACTTGATCTCGATTGGAGCTTTGGTTGGAGAGGGTCTGAAGGTTCGTGTTGAGGACATGGTTCTCGAGATTGCGAGAGACTCTCGTATTTTGATGAAGGGCGTCAGGAGAAATAACCTGTATTACTTGACTGGAGGTATAGTGACAGGTGGAGAGCTGGCGACTTCTGTTGATTCGACTAGACTGCGGCATTTGGGGCTTGACCATTCCAGTATTGATTCCTCGCATAGATTGAAAGAGGGTATAAAGACCTGCAATTTAATGTCCAGTGAACGTGTTGATGTGAGCAAGAAGACTGAGGTGAAGTTTGGCACCTCTATTCACCGTGCTAAGGGTCGTTCTAGAGGAGTTCACGTGGATGTTTGGGGGCCTTCCAAGGGGGCATCATTGGGAGGTAATAGGCGTTTGGTTTCCTTTGTTGGTGACTGTTCTAGGCGTGTTTGGGTTGCAACCAAATCCCCTTTGGAGAAAATCCTAGTAGTATCCAACAGATTGAAAAAGTGTGTAATAGACAGAAAGGTGAAGGTACTCCATTCTGGTGGGAGGTACAAGATGGACCTATTTCTGTATTGGAGCCGAGCTCACGGCATTTCGAGACACTTCGTTGGAAAGGAAATCTTGGGGCAACTTGATAGGGTGGCAAATTTGAAGAACCGTACCTTGCTGGAGGAGGATTGGTGTTTGTTGTCAAGCAATGGTCTGCAGAAGAGTTTCTGGACAGAGACTTCGACATATTTGGGTCATCCTATTAAAGAGTTGTCAACTACTGTGATTGGAGGTAAAACTTCATTAGAAGATAGGTCTGGTAGTGTCACCTTGGTTGAGGCTTCGATAAGGGAGCTATTTGACTCACAGCAGGTGGAGAGTTTTGGACAGACCTTAGAGGTATCGCAGCGGGTGGAGAGTGATGCTACTCCACATTGGGTGAAGATTACTCCAGATCATTCTGCATTGGTTGGGATTCCAGCTGAGGTGACACAGCGTGGAAGTCATTTGGATTCGGATGCAGATGATGAGTTGGGTTTTGACTCGAGTGTAGCTGATAGATGCAGTTTGGGTATGACCATTGGTTCACCTCAGGTGGAGGTGTTTGAGGCCATTGGAGGTGTTATCAGCCGTAGAGTTGATGATATTGGAGAGGGGTTGCGAACTCTTCTATTGGTTTGAGGTCATTCGCGGCCATTTGGGTGAACTACGTTCGGCTTGATTCCTTGGGCAAGAGGATACGTAGGCAGTCTTATGATGCAGCCGGGTTGGATTTTGATGGGTGTGTGATCGATTTGGTGAGTAGACATCGACGTTTGGAAGAGTGTTCGCACTCCTGTTTGGGTCTCTACTTGTTATGGATTGAGTCCGTTGTCGTGAATTGTTTCACGGCGTACTGGACGCAACAAGTGGGACAGTTGGATGCTTTGGTGTCGGCTCAGTTTTGGGAAAACTTCGCCGAGGTGGAGAATTGTGAGTGTGAGGCCCAGGCGTGAATTGTTTCACGTGAAGGTTGTGAATTGTTTCACGTGAAGGTTGACGCGTGAATGAAGAGCACATCAAAGCAAACCATCTCTCTTATTGTCCAGCGGGTTTTAGTTGTATCTTGGATATTTGTTCAAAGGCCCACCCGATTAACCAATAGGCTATAAATAGGAACATTGTTTTTAGCCTAGGTTTTGGGGGTGCTAAGGCTGAGAAAAAAAAAACGGCAGCAAGTGCAAAGGAGCAGAGGCGGGTACAAGGAAAAACAGAGCGGCGACTGCAGCAAAGAAAAAAATCTTAGGGATTTGTGAAGAGAGTTTTGTGCAATCTCTTGTGTTTTCTTTTGTGAGAGATTGAGAGATTGTTTGAGAGTTTATAAACCCTAGTTGTATTATCTCCTTCTAATAGTAGATCTTCCCCTCCTTGCCCCGTGGACGTAGGCAGTTTACCGAACCACGTAAAATTAGTTGTTTGAGTTTGTGGCCATAGTAATAGTTTTTAGGATCCCTCGACGCGCAGTCCTAGAGCTGACGAGAGGAAGAGCAAATATCCCACTTTGATGGGATATTAGGCTTCAGATTCTTGTTCCCTTTGAGAAACAAGAATTATTATCGATCTTTCTCTCTTATTGTGCACCAGAAACTCTGCCGAAATTTCCGCTGCGCACAACATATATCTTACTAAATTCTTTTGACCTCTTATAATCTAATTGTTATACTAAGGAATGTCTGGTTTGTTGGAGCTGCAATTGTTGAGAAATTGTTTTGTTCGTTGCAATTGTAATTGGTATAACATCAACTACATGCAAGTACAATTGCTCATTGCTGCGACTATTTCGTATTTAGCTGTAGTTGCTACAAAATTTCTCCTATATAAATGCTACAAAAAACATGCGAAGATATCTAAGTGCAAAGTGAGTGAAACTATAAGGTATTTAAGTGCTATTTAGCGTTTGCACGTTAGAAGGTTTTAGTGTGAACAAAAAATGTTTTGCGAGTAATAAGTGGCTAACCCGAGTATTTCTGTAGTACTTATAGTAGCTTCACTGGTTTATACACTGTCTGTATACAGCACATAAAATAACCTGTAATTGTTCTCAAGACAAATGCACCACAACAAAATGTAGGTCAAATTTTTTGTCATCGTTTTGCTGGGAAAACTATTTCAGATAACAAGCAAGACTTAACATAAGAAAAAGGGATAAATGTATAAACAACCTGAAAGGCAATTGCAGTTATGTTAAACTGTAAAAGATGGAACAAAAGTTAATAGAAGGGGTACTATTGTCATCATAAGAGGGATTCAGCTTAAAGGCATCCAACAGTAAACAAGTAATAACTAGAAATTTACCTTTAAAAAAAGTAATAACCAGAAATTAGTGGAATAAAGTTTGCAGTGGTGTAGCATAAGCAAATATAAACTGGTATAAACATTATGATGAAGAAGTTACCTGAAGGTTTATATTCTTCTCCTGCTATAAAAGATGCACAGAGGAGTTTTGTGTTCTACAGAAAAATGGATAGAAGAGTAATTTCTTCATCCTCAAACAACTTGCTGCCTCAAGGCATCACATGACATACAAATAAAAAACTAGAAATCTTCCTAAAAAAGTAATAACCAGAAATAAGCGGGATAGAGGTAATTTCAGCAGTGTAGCATCAAAGAAATCATTATGATGAAAAAAATCATGTCCTGATTAATTTGAACATCCCTAGCTTGTAGTCAGCCTCTCTCAAATTCAGAACATCGGCGAAGTGAAAAATCTTCCAGAAACGTAAGAGCATTGTATTGGAAGCAGTTTGTACAAATTAAGGGACCATAGAGGTCCAGAGAGGGGGATTAAAGCTGACAAATACAGAAATTTCTAATGAGTCATTATATGCATTATAAGTTCGAACCTTCATAACAAGCATTCCTGTCGCTGCGGCTAGACTTGATATAACAAAGTGGATCTGAAAAAACTACTGCACATTACAGCCGATAGTTCCGAAAGGCCATGAAGGGAATGTTGCTACATGTAGCTACTCCAGTATTTCTCTGTGATAGGAATCATCTGTCCAAACCTACAAACGCGATCGAACAATATGTTCATGGAAAACACAAGAAAACAAATATATATGCTACTAGTAAACGAGCAGAATCTCCTTAGCCGCAACCACCTGAATATCCTACAACAAGATAACTTGAAAGTTTTCGAGACCAGATAGTAATGCTAATAAAGAAGTAAATGAGCAGCATAGAAATTTGGGGGAAAAAAGTTCTTAAAAAAAATATCATATTAGCATTCCATCTGAACGACAAAACCTGATAAGATATACCAAGCATAAGTTTTCCCCTGAGCTGTGTAACATGCCTAAATATCCTAAGACAACATACAGGATTTTAAGAATGATAATGCTAATAAAGAAGAAGTAAATTAAAGGCTTCAGCATTCAAATTGAATGCTTTTAGAGCAGATGATAACCGCAGCTCAGGAGAAACTTCATCTTAGTAGGTTCTACTGTTGAAAATGAAAGCTGATATGATTAAAGCTACTTTTTTGAATCTCTAGCTTTATGGCAGGACTTTTTAAAAGAGAAGAGCTTGCTTCAAAATGCAGGTTGACTGTGAGATAGTTGCATCTCTATCTCGTCCCTTCCTTCTTTATTGGCATCATCATTTGCTCTTAAAAGAACGAAGTTAACTTCTTTGTATATTACAAATTATCGCGCCTGGAGTAGATTCTTCGTTATATACAAAAGAAAGAGAAATTTCTAGGCATGGCGATATATTGTCTGAAGGATTTTCATGATTCCTTCACTCTAGGTTCAACTCTTGGTTGAAGTTAACCTAATTTCGAAGAAACAACTAAAAACGGGTACGAAGAATAACTCATGGAACATTAGCATAGGCCTTTCAAATAATCTAATAAACCAGCAAAATCATAGATACGAACGACAGAATAGTCAGATTAAGCAACATAAAATAGAGGAACCTAGACATACCTGATAAACAACAATACTGCTCATTTTCTCACTGGATTGCTACCCTTGGTAAACCAAATAAATCTGAGTCTCTAAATGCTATTTTCTTCTCTGATTCATACGCGGAGATGGAACAGTCCCAACAAAGTAGAAAGAATCAAACCTTAGTTAATTAAGAAAACCAATATTAAGAGCAAGATTAGAGACTACCTTACCAAAGACACGGTCTTTAGTAACAATGTAACTAAAGATCAAATAAATCCATTAAGAACCTGTAAGAGATGAAATCATCAAACGAAGGTAGGATTTTACTAAAAGAAAGAGATAGAAGCTATGAACCAGAATCTTACCAGTAATGGATTTTACATGGGAATAAGAGTTTTCTTTTCTTGATCTTCGCCCTTCTTCTAGACTAGTTCCTCTGCAACAAATGATAAATTAAGAATAGTAAAAACTTGTAAGATTTGATCGATTTCTCTCATTCAGTTTATTGTGACGATGATCTAAATAGAAACTTGTACACAAAAGGCGATACAATATTGAGAAAGAAACTAGAAAAAGGTTTATATAACAAGAGAGACGAATTTCCGCAGGCTATAAGATCAAAATATCACTTGCATAATGAGTTTGTAAGCTAAGATAACTCAATCACATCTAGAAACAATATTGGGGATTGAGGAATTTTCAAGTATGATTAGGAGGGGAGAAAAAAGCCCATCATGTTGGGTTCGATTAATCCAACGAACCCATGTGGCCCAACCTACTCGATTTTGGGATTTTGTTTCCAAGTTGCATGGATTGCAAGTAGGATCTAGGATGCTACTAACATGGTCTAGGCTTAGATCAAGTTGTCATGTTTATCAAGTTGGGCACGTGGGAGTGGTTATTTGAATATCTAATGGATAGGATCAAACCTGAGAGTGTATCCCCACGGTTGTGATAAACGATGAATGGGTGGTTAATCAAAAATATCTTATAAAGGGTGGGCAAGTCCTCTGCCTCTCAAACGTACGCAGGTAAGAGACCTAATTACCATCATTGGCTCACGGGAGCAGAAGGAAGAGACTTCCTTGTTTCGTTACGGAGTGAAACGGAATTGTACATTGTTATTTTCTAGTTCAATTTTTTCATGCTAGATCATCAATTTATCAACAGTGGTATCAGAGCACAGTTTTGCATGATCTTTGATCTAGAATTAACAGTTTTATTTTCGGATTATTAATTTTTTAAGAAAGAAATCTATCCAGCCGAGAATATATAGCATAATCTTTGATTTGTCATGGCCGCAGAACACAAGATCAACTTGTTTTTTTTTCTTTATACATCGGCGCTGAAACCCTTGGTGCTCCTGTTTTTCAATCAAAGGAATATCATGGGCCGCATAACTTTAAGAGAATAAGAAAAAAAAAAAGAACAAAGCAGCATTAGTTCTCGCGGTCTCTTGGCCGACGGCGCGGCAGCGGAGGGTTTTGGGTGCAGGCGGCGGGTCTTGGGTCGTGGGATTAGGGTTAGGGTTTTTTAGTTAATTAGTTTAATTGATAAATAATTAGATTAATTAATATAATTATCTTTTAGTTTTTAGTTACATAACTCCAAAACCCATTAAGTCAGACCCGATCCAGTATTTAATGGACCCGACCCGCTCCAATTAATTTCTAAACCCGACCCATTACAGTTTTGACCATTCATTTTATTTTGGTCGCTACAGATCCGTTTTAAGTCTGATTTGAGCCCATAAATAGTCGTTGGAAAGATCATTTTGTGTACTTGTTCAACTTATACAGTTTTTATTTAACTTTCATAAAGTTTTAAACAGGAATTTGAACAATTCATACAAGATTATTGTATGCACATAAAGATAATTGATTTACCCTAATTATATCCTTAATTCAGGTGGGTAATTATTTGCGGTTCATTGATAAACGGATTAAGTTATTAGATCAACCTATGTGGTTAAGGAGATCAGTAAAACAGTCACTTAGAAATTATGGTTAGAGTAGGTTAGTGTCTTGCCCAAGGTGCACACCTATAATCTATCCATTTTCTAGAGTTGATTCTATTTCATTCAGACTGGAAGGTTGACTTACCTGTGGCGTGGATACTTAGCCTTGACCCAAAGGTGTCTAGGAAATCCCCTACAGTATAAGGTGGTGCTGATAGTGGAACATGTCAGGTGAGGAGGAGACATACCCTATTGCCCAAAGGTTAGGAGTGTTCAAATCAAACTGCACTGTGTAGGAGTTCTGTAGGTGATGTAGTATATCACATTTGGGGGGAAGCGAATAGCATGTCCAAATCACTTGCCCAAAGTGTGATGAGATGATGCACCTCCGCCTGGGTCCCGCCAGAGTGGAAGGCGCATCATTAAACACTCTGACCCATCCATTCTAACCCAAAATGGAGCTGGAAAATTAAAGTTAATAAAACTAAAGGTCTCAATTTTTTTTTACGTCCATGTTTAATACAGAATGGACGCACATTCTATCCAGAAAGCAGTTTAGGGACATCGTTAAGCAAGAGCAACCATAGTACAGTTTGTATGGGATTGTAGATCATGTTTGTTCGTGAACAAAACTTAGTTGATGTATCCTTCAAATTCTGTGTGGATTGATTCTGGTTGCTCTGATGACCGCATTTCAACTTCATACAAGGAATAATCACAGTCGGAAGCGGCAATGGCAAATGAGCAGTTATTTTGGGAAACTCACACCTTTGAAGGTGAGGCTCGTTGGGCGCACTTCAGTCCTGTGCTGATTCTGGAGTTTCACTTATGTTTTACCAGACACTTTCTAGTACCTTTATGAGAAGGAATCTTATTTCAGTTTTTAGACTTTCTGGAATCTGGTTATACTTTGTTTCAGAGATATTTTGTTCTATCAGAAATGGCTTGGATGTTATCGGACATTGATTTCGTTAATTGAATGGTCTTTATAGATTAAATCCTGGATGCATCTTTTCCTTCCCCTCTTGATGTCTGGGTGAATTATGCTTTTCTTTGGTAGAAAGCGTCACTAGGTTAATAGGCAATTCTTCCATCCTTTGCGGCACCGGAGATTGGGAATGCTTCAAGAAAGCAGCGTTGGATCCTTAGTACAAGTCTGCGGTTCTTGAACAAACTTAGATTTCTCTGATTTTGGTACATGGTTGACTGTATCAAGGAGAAGATGGACTAAATTGAGAATTTGAATCCTCCAGGGAGTAAAGGGTCTCCGTTGACCTATTAATACAGATATTTGTGGACCGTTTTCCTAACTCCACTCTCGATGGTGCGTCAGCGATCTTTATCTCACTTCATAAGATGATTTTTCGCAGCTATGCCATATTTTTCTTCCTTCACCAAATATAGGTGCACTTAGAATGTTTTCAAGATCTTTAACTGAAGTTGCAAAAAACAATTAAGAAAGAAAGATTAAATCTGTGCGTTCTGGATCGACGAGTGGGTGGCGAATTCATGGTAAACCGAAGATCAGGACGGCACAAATCATGGTCCTTCTCATTGAGCTCTTAAGGTCACAACAGGATTGTTCCTCAGTACACTCTCCCAGGGTTCTCCACAGCAAAATGGCGCGTAGCTGAAAAAAGAAGAAATCGTCTTATCAAGATGCCGGTTCGCAGCCAAGTGATGAGTCATTCAGATTTGCCTGAACAGTTTTTGGGTGACGCCATTGAAGACAGCTGTTATATCTCATAATCGTCTACCTTGTAACGCGGTAGCTGAGACCCGTTCAAGTTCTGGACTGCAGGGGATCCTATGTCTTGTCTTATCTAGTGTTTAGGGGATGTCCAGCAGCAGGCAAGGACCTTCTATATCCAAGAATTAAGAATTAGAAGCACCGTAGCAGTGTCGTGTTCGTCATTTCGCGCTACCTGCAGATTAAGGGCTCAGGTTCTATTGTTCTTATCAGGTATAACCCAGATTTTTCGGACAGAATGTTGAAGTTTCTGGCAAGCCCTAATGCCTTCATTCAGACATCGCGTGGTGTTGAGTTTTGAAGGAAGTTTTAGAGATGAGCAGCTCGGCTTCCGCTATTAGATGATCTCTTCGATCCCCATTCTTCAGATAGGTTCCACTCCTCATCCAGTTCAAGAAACCGTTATGCACCGTGGAAGAGGCGACAACTAATTAGGAAGATCCTCTAGAGCGTCAGAAGATGTGCATACTGATGACTATAGAGGTCTATCTTCAAGAAAGTGGATGCATGATCCAAGAATGATTGGATCCTCATGCAGTATCAAAAGCTAGAGAAGCTTCATGCCGGATTGGCTGAGGATATTGGAAGAGAGTTCGTCAATTGGAAAAGAACTCTGTGTTGGGAGTTGTCCTGTTTGCACAACAAAGCAGAGGATGGAATGCGTAATGGTTTCAGACCAAAGGGATTCTGGAAGGAACTTGGAGACGAATTCGAAGGCCAGGCTAGTGGCAAAGGGTTTCAGCAGGAGAAGGATTGGACTAGTCGGACACTTTTTCTCCAGATCTAAGAAAGATTCGTTCGGTTTCTTGTCTCGTCGGCCATTTTGCCTTGAGCCTCCATCAGTATGGATGTCCAAGACGGCATTCTCTCGCAATGGAGATTGAGATGAGGATACTTATGGGACAGCCTGAAGTTTAATGCCAGTTAAGGGGATCTGGTCGTGCAGATTGCTAGAGTTCAATATGCGTCTCAGCAGCGCTTCCAAGACAGGGTATTAAAATTTATCAAGTGATAAATCAAATGGACTTTCGAGGAAATTCCTGTCGATCGCTGCAGTATTACTTAAAATCTGGGGGACAGAATTGTCTATTAAGTATAATATATGTAGCATGATATATTGATTTAAGCAGCAGTGATATTCAGTCTCGCTACATGGACTAAGGTTTCTTTCGAGATAATTGCTTGATATGAAAGACATTCGGAGATGCTCATTAGTTTTGGCAATCAGGTCATTAACGACGACTCGCAACATAAAGGGCTGTGTTGGGCTTATCTCAAGGGCTTATATGAGAAAGTCCTTTCAACGATTATGGCATGAAGTTTTGATGCACCAGTGTGAAGCACAGTTGTAAAGGAGATATGTTAAGCAACAAATCTCGAATGCCCACGAAATGAAGTTGAAGCGTGATTGCTAGTGAACTCTGAGAGTGATGTCTCTGCCGTTGGCACGATCTAGATGTATGCGTGTAGTGACACTCAGGCCAGACATCAGTATATTCGTGGGGAATATTTAGGCAAGAGTTTCAGAGCAGAATCTGGGTGTAACTCATTTGGAAGTGTAAAAGAAGTTTCTGCGGTATAATATATGCAGGAGACAAGGATTTCATGTTGGTACAGAAGAGTGATGAAAATCTAGAAGTCTGTTGGTTATTCAGATTCAGATTTTGCGGATGTGGAGATTAGCAGGAAATCAACATCAGGTTTATATATTTCTGCTGCTGGATGGAGAGTTTCTTGGGAAAAGCTGCAGCAGTCATTAAGTGACGATCCAACATGGAAGGCCAGGTAATTGTTGCTGTTTTTGAAGGCAAGATTGATTGGCCTCTTGGCTTTTCAAAATTTCGTCAGCTGAACTAGAGGTGGTGGCAGTTCATTCAGAGACCAGTTAAAATGTATTGTATAATCAAGCAGTGTCAGTTTGTTAAAGAATCTAAGAACTTTTCCAGCTAGGAAATAAGACACATCGGTCGTGAAGTATTTTGGTTAGTCTTGATTACTAGCTCGACAAGGATTGC